CTACTGCTGGGTGTTTATCCAAGGAACATGAAATCAACAATTCAAAGAGATGTATGCACCCCTATGTTCATTGCAGCATTATTCACAATAGCCAAGATGTGGAAGCAACCCAAGTGCCCATCAACAATGAACGGATATGCTGTGGCACCGTCCCACATACAACATAGAGGAAGATGGGCACAGATGTTAGCTCAGGGCCAATCTTCCTCACACACAAAAAAACAAAAAACAATGAATGGATAAAGAAGATATGGTATATGATATATGTGTATATATATATATATATACAATGGAATACTACTCAGCCACAAAAAAAGACAAAATCGTGCTGTCTGCAGCAACATGGATGGACCTTGAGGTTATTGTGCTAAGTGAAATAAGCCAGAGAAAGACAAACACTGTATGATTTCACTCGTATGTGGAAGATAAACACATGGAGAGGAGAACAGATTAGTGGTTACCAGAGGGAAGGGGGTGGAAAGGAAGGTGAAAGGGGTAAAGGGGCACATATGCATGGTGACAGATAAAAACTAGACTATTGGGGGGGCCAGCCTGGTGGCGGAGTGGTTAGGTTTGTGTGCTCCACTTTGGTGGCCCAGGGTTCACAGGTTCGGATCTCAGGTGTGGACCTACCCACCGCTTATCAAGGCATGCTGTGGCTGGCGTCCCACATATAAAGTAGAGGAAGATGGGCACAGATGTTAGCACAGGGCCAATCTTTCTCAGCAAAAAGAGGAGGATTGGCAACGGATGTTAGCTCAGGGCTAATCTTCCTGACCAAAAAAAAAAAAAAAAAAACTAGACTATTGGTGGTGAACATTATGCAATCTATACAGAAACTGATATATAATAATGTACACCTGAAATTATGCAATGTTATAAGCCATTATGACCTCAATAAGTTAAAAGAAGAATTAAGTGAAAAAATATATTGTCAGTATCATTCCCATTTTATAGATAAGAAACTCACGTGCAGAGGCTTATCACAAGACCATATAGCAAGTGATCCCCAGACTGCATGGACAGCACCCTTTCTGTAGCACAACTGCCTGCTGGTTTTCTGTCTTTCTGTGACATAAAGAGGTATGATTCAATGTAAGTGTATGTTTGACCTTGGATAAGTCATTTATTATAATTGAGTTTCAGTTCTTTCATCTTAAATTCCTATTCACAGGGAGGTTGTCCTGAGGCTTAAAATGATTTAGTATCCGCAAAAACATCTGCTTTGTAATGAATAAAGCACTGTACAAACCCAAGAGCATTTTATATATGGCAAAACCGGGAGCTTCATAATAATGTTTACCTTATAATTAATACATTGATGACACTTTGCCCAAGTAATGAACAGTGGTTTTGCAATACCACAACAAAACACAAGAGGGGGTTCATTTATGTTTTTATTCCAAAGGCAGGTCATTTAACAAATATTTTGCAGCATTTACTCAGTAAACGTCTCTGAGATTGTCAGAATTTTTGAGGGGCTCAAGTAAGCAACTCTGTACTTTGTTCATTCTGATACATTTTCCAAAGTAGCACTTTCTAAGAGGTGCTTTGCTCAGGAAGCTGAACAAATAAAGCTGCTGACATTTCCATTCTTTTAAAAAAAGCAGTGCCTAAGCTTTTACCTTGAGAATATTACATGCCCGGACAGTGAATAATCCTAAACTGGCATAAAATGCAGCCTATTAGGATCACACTCATCCTTAATTTGTAGGGAAGGCAGACACTTTAGAAACAACATGTTTCAGCGTGTGTAGCAACTCTGTACTCACTGTAGCCCGAAGGGTTCCACTGAAACCTCTGAGGCCTTCAGAGGCATCCGATCACTGTATTTCTATCTTCAGTCAACCAGAACCAAGAAAAGGCTACATGATTCCCAGGGACACAGCCACAAAGTATGTGGTTTGGATCTGAAGAAAATTGAGGTGAAAAACTTTAGCTACCAGCAACAAGCAAGAGGAAGAGAAGGGAAAATTCAAGCCCAAAGGTGTCACAATGTGTACATGTTGCTGTAAGCGCTTTGATGAAGTAGAAAACTGTAAGACTTACCGTGTTATTTATTTTGCAAAAGATAATAACTATTCTTATTTTTAATTCTGATATGAGCAAAGAACTCTCTTAGTTATCTTCGTTAGTCATCTCTTTATTCTTTACAGACTGGTGGTTAACAGCATAATCTTTGAAATCAGATCTATGTTATGAACAGGTTACTTAACCTCATTGAGCCCCAGATTCCTCATAATGGTATTCTTCATAGGTTGTTGAGAGGATTAAATGAGATAAAGCAAAGCACATAGCACACAATATTGTTCTTATTATCCCTGGTGCATAAACCCAGAATACTTGGCACATAGTAGGATGCCATTAACAACTGTAATGTTGATGGTGATGGCTATGATGGTTACAAGAACTTTTTTTTTTTTAGGTGAGGAAGATTGGCCCTGAGCTAACATCTCTTGCCAATCTTCCTCTTTTTACTTGAGGAAGATTGGCCCTGAGCTAACATCCAAGCGAATCTTCCTCCATTTTGCATGTGGGTCCCTGCCACTGCATGGGTTGATGAGAGGTGTGTAGGTCCGCACCTAGGATCTGAACCCGCAAATCAGGTTTGCTGAAGCAGAGTGCATGAACTTAACCACTACACCATGGGGCCAGCCCCCAAGAAACAACATTTATTTAGTACTTACCATGCATCAAACACTGTTCTTAGTGATTTAATCTTCCCAACAACCCTGTGAGGTAGGTGCTACAATTATTCTCACTTTAGAAATTAAGAAACGGAGTACAAAGTTGCCAGAATTGCTTGCAGAAGGGATGAACAACCATGCTCTTATATGCCTCCATGCCTCTTATATTTATTGTTCCAATTGCCACTTTCATCTGCCAAATTTGTATGTACTTTTCCAAATCCAACACAAAAACCAACTCTTCCGCAAAACTTTCCTAAATCTCCCGGCAGGAATAACCTGTAATTATTCTTTTTTCTGTTTGTTTTTCCCTTGAATGTGTTTTTCAAAAACAGGAATATATGTTATTCATCTTAAATTCTGGCTTTTCTGCCATTGAGCATAGTCTACAGTCTGATTAGAGGATATAGGCATTAAGCCAACTGCGCAGAAAATGTCCATAGAAGGTTCCCAACTAGCCTTTCATAGGAAAGATGTCACTTTACTAGGGGATTAGGTCCTTCATCCACCTATCCCTTCTTATATTGAAAATAATACGGCTTTCTAAGGTCCTTAGTAAGCAAAATAAAAAGTTGCAACTTTATGTCGGTTCCCAAAAGTCCTTTGAGAATTTTATCAGTCTACAAAATAAAACATTTTCAGACAAAATGTTCTTCGCTTCCACCCTTCGCTCTCTACAGTATTTTCAAAAGAGAGAAAACTACACTTCCCACGATGCCCCAGATCCGGAAGGAAGTGAGACTCGACACTTCCCGTGATTGCTTATAGACCGGAAGTCGTAGCCTTAGTCCTCTTTCCCATCTTGCAAGGTAAGAATGGCGGGGCTTCCCTGCAAGAGTCGATTTCAGAACCCCAATCCTTCGCCATCCGAACCAGGAGGCTATTAAGTCGACATCTGCTGGGGTCGAACATGCTCGGGATCAACTGAGAGGCCTCCCAGACGCTTCATTTCTCTCGTTTGCGTTTGCGGTGGGGCACGAAGAGGCTGAGGGTGAGGTGGAATTCTGTAGAGGCTCCGGGGCTCCGGCTGCTTCCCGCCCTCCTGGGCTGGGGGAACGGGGCCCCTCCGGGCATCCGTAGCGGGCTAGTGGGGCCGCAGGGACCGGGGCGCCGGCGCGCGGTCCGGAGTCCTGGTCCCGAGTTCCGGAGACGCCGCAGGGCTTGTGTGAGCCACGTTGGGACGTGGGGCTGAGGCCAGATGCTGCTTTCCCGTCTCCTCGCGTCCGCGACCGGAAGTCGCCTCTTGGGCTTTCAGCCTGGCCTGAGTTTGGGCTAACTGTATGTGTCCTCGTCTCCTAAGCCGCATGTCTTCAATGAGACGGTAGTCTTGAAAAGAGCAAAAGCCCGGGAAGCAAACGGTTTCAAGTTCCAGCCTCGCTGCATTCCTGGCTGGAGATTCCTTGGCTCTAAGATTTCTAATTCGCAAGACAGGAGTAATGAAATAGGGACTTTGACCACTAACTATTTAAGAAACACCGAACACGGTTAGGATACCTTCAGATACCCAAGTTCATAGTGTATTGGGGAGACAACCCCTAAGTTAATCGTTATGAGGGTTGTGGATGTGTGGGGCTTTGGAGGAAGGCTTGTATGGAATGGGGGAGGGATGAGAAGGCTGTTAGAGCTACTTGGAGGGGAGGTGAAGGGCTTGTCGTCTGGGAAGCCTATCAGGTACAGTGTACGACCTGCCTTTGTATGGGATAATTGGTGAAATGTCTTCTTTGTTTAACATATGTACTGGCAGATGGCGGGTGAAAAAGCTGAGAACCCGGCTCCTAAGGAGAAGAAACCTGAAGCTAAGAAGGCTAATGCTGGTGGCAAGGTGAAGAAGGGTAACCTCAAGGCCAAGACGCCTAAGAAGGGGAAGCCCCACTGCAGCCGAAACCCTGTCCTAGTCAGAGGAATTGGAAGGTACTCCCGGTCGGCTATGTATTCCCGAAAGGCCATGTACAAGAGGAAGTATTCAGCAGCTAAGTCCAGGGTAAGGGAGCAGGGGAACCGCTAACCATTGTGTCTTAACCTTAAAATGTTTGGCTGCCTCTGACTTTTTGGTGCTTTGTTGTCCGGACAGATTGAAAAGAAAAAGAAGGAGAAGGTCCTTGCTACTGTCACAAAACCAGTTGGAGGTGACAAGAATGGTGGTACCCGAGTGGTTAAACTTCGCAAAATG